GCACTCAACCTAGGGCATCTAAATGTAATACGACTTAGAAGGAAGGGGGAATCTATATAGTTATGTAAAAGTTTAAACAGAAACATCTGATCTCTATGTTCACGTCGTAATTCTAATGAATGAAGTAGCGCAGAATGATCCTTAAATTTGTAATTAAGTCTTTTCAGAAACTTATTTTGAATCCTTTCTACTTGTTCCACATAAGTAGCATAAATAGGGTTCCACACCGTAGATGCGTATTCAAGATGACTTCTTACTAAAGAATTATACAGCATAATATAAGTGTTTATGTTTTTGAAGTCCTTGCATTGTCGGAAGACAAAACCTAACATTCTATAAGCCTTGGCAGTAGCCTTGTCAATATGAGATGCAAAGTCTAGCTTACTATCTAGATATACCCCCAGGTCCCTCACCTCGGTCACTCTTTTAATCAAAATGTTATTTAATTTATAATTGTAAACAATCGGTCGTTTTTTTCGGGAATTAGATATAGTATAACATTTATCAATATTTAATTTTAGATTATTAGCCGAACAATATTCATAAAAATTGTTTAAATCTTTTTGAAATAGTAAAGCATGTTCGAAATTCTTAACGAAGGTAAATATTTTAGTATCATCAGCGTATAGTAATGCTTTTGAATGTTGAATGCTACGCATGACACCATTTATGAATCTATCAAAAAGAAGAGGACCGAGATGAGAACCCTGAGGCACACCAGAAGTGATCGGAACAAAGCTCGAGGTATAGCCCTTCACAGCTACTGCCTGAGACCTATCACGCAGATATGAGGTTAGCCATCTCAAGAGATCGCCGTGTATACCGACGTTTACAAGTTTAGCAATCATTAGATTGTGGGAAATTTTATCGAACGCTTTTGAAAAATCGGTATACACAGCGTCAACCTGATAGCCTCTTTCCATGGCCTCCAATGTTTCATCCTGAAACTCGCATAAGTTAGTTTCTGTGGATCTACCAGGGATGAAACCGTGCTGACTTGAAACTATTTGCGGTTTAATTACAGGAAATAAAGAGTCGTATATAATTTTTTCAAATAGCTTGGGTATAACAGATAGTTTGGAGATACCACGGTAGTTAGCTATATTGTGTTTGTCTCCGCTCTTAAATATGGGAACAACAATGGATTGTTTCCAAAGCAAGGGCATCACACCTTGGCTCAAAGAAATATTAAAGAGTAATGAAAGAGGAGCTGCTAAATGCTTACTGCATTGTCTGAGGAAGATTGGATGAATACCATCTGGGCCAGTACCTTTATTGATGTCGAGATTCTTCAAATATTTTTCGACTTTAACGTTATCAATGTAAACAGAATTAATTATACAATTATTATTTTCCGTATCACAGTTCATAACATTCTTGCCAGGTGGCTCAAATACAGAATGAAAGAATGAGTTAAATAGATCAACAATTGTCTGACCATCTGATGCATATACAGGGTATTTTTGGAACGCTCCCGAAAACTAAGACAGGCGACAGCACCAAGTATACCTTTGATCATGGGTTACAAATAAAGTCGATCCTGATGAAAAAAAAATCATCTTTTAACAACGTTTTATTAGCTTTACTCACGCGCCATCATGTTAGTACAGCTAAATGAAACGATAATTTCATAAAAAATATCATGAAAATACTGAAACATAAAACCAGCAGTGGAAACTGAATTGATATCACCTGACTAATGGAGGTTAATGTACGCGCGAACGGTGAAAAACAAACGCTGGCCTTGAACTTGGGCACTGAGCGATTTATCACATATTGGTACGAAAGGCGCGCGACGGGGGAACAATCCGCCAGTATTAGTGTGCCTGCATGCTATTGGTTCCCGCGCTTTGTTCGCTCCAAAAATACAGTCGCATACACAGCTTACTTTGCGACTCGCGACGATGTTTTAAAAAGGAAGGAAAGAAAAATTATTTATATCTATTGTTTTATGACTAAATTAGTGATCGAAAAGGTAAATATGATAGGAGAAGGTGAATGGGGAAAATTGTGCAGTAAAGTTAAAAGTGTGGAGGAAGAATACCGAAAAAATTACCATGTGATCGACCTGATAACGGAAGCTCAAGCGAAGATGAAAGTGATGATCAAGTAGCATCCAGTAACACCAACACACCATTAACATCTGGCTTCCATGTGACCCAAGACGTCATAATGGACGGCGTGTTACCCTTAGCTAAAGTTTTTACAAACTACTTTATATTTTACGATAGAAATAACAAATAATGCTCATGTAAACATTATCCATTTTTAATTCCCACCTCTTCCAAAGTTCTAAGTAGCTAGTAAAACGCCTATTATGATTCTACATTAAAACAATTAATTACTATAATATTATAAAACAATAGCCCAATACCATGTAGTACTTTAGAACGCGATTGTACCCACACCCCCTCCGCTATCGACCTGTATCTAGCTCGGTATGAAACACGCGGTCGTAAGAAAAAAGGGCGCATCTAACAATTTATGAATGAGTTAAATATACCATTCGATTCATGATAAGAAGGCGCATCTACTAAATTTTTTTAATATTCACAAATATCAATATTTTAGAAATTATCATAAGAATTTTAGACGTAACTGTTGATCACAGATGACTTTTTTTAGTAGAAAAGACTTATACAAATTCAACATAAAAGAAAAGACTTATTTAACCAGTTGCTACGTCATCTTTAACAATATTTGCATCGATTACTTAAATTTCAATTATTCTTGGTCTTGTCTTATAATTCTATATCTTATTATTAAGAGCTTATATCTTATTGTTAAGAGCTGGTGTTTCACATGTGGTCCCATATAAATTTGATCGAGGTCAGACCAATAGTTTTTGAGTTATCCTTAATTATTGATATTAAAGTCGGTTGTACAAAATTTTTAATTTTTAATTATTATCGTAGTAAGTCTTGTATGATATCCCCTTTAAAATCATTACTTTTTAAAATTATTATTTTTTGTGTCTCACTACCAATGTTTTTCTAATATTTATTAAAAAAAAAGTAGTAAATTACTATTAGCGTCCTTTCAACTTCAAATGACCTTTTCAAAATATGTAAAATTGTTAAATGAATGGCAGTTTTTTTTTAATTTATTAGGTTGGAAAGACGCAAATAGTTATATGCGTCTTTCCTTCGATGTTTTTGTGTTGCCAGGTGTATTTTTTAAGCTAAGATGAAAAGGAAAATTCGTTTTATTTAAATAAATAAACAAATTTAAAAAAAAAAATAAGTTCGTCCTTAAAATCTTCATGTCTCTACGTATATATTTCAATATAGATACCTTTTAATATACTTTAGACACGGGGTCTGAAAGAAAAATTCATCAATTTATTTTTTATTTCCATTTTACGTTTTTGTTAGTTACTTCCTTTTTTATTATGACGGCAGAATGCCTAACCCTGTCGCCTCACGCTTGTGACGCAGTAATTTTCAGCCTTGACGGGGTTCGTTGGTTTTAGTTTTTGAGACAGTTTCGCTTTCGTGTTGATTTTGTACACGCGTGCGCGAGCGACAGTTCAATCGTTTTGTTTAATAAATTTACTTGTGATTACGTGTTGATATTAAAGTTTTTGTTACGTTTTTGGATTCTTTTTTGTTTTAATAATGCCTAACGCGTACGTTTATAGTGGTTATTATACTGCCGTTGGTTATTATATCAGCAACAACGTGTGCCTGGTTCCATTGAGCACATTATCTGGACGGATGAGTCGACATTTACCAGAAACGGCCTGTGGAACCGAAGAAATACACACGTGTATTCAGAGGTTAACCCGCACGCTGTTCGACAAACCGGGCACCAAACCCGATGGTCGGTTAACGTATGGACAGGTTTATTTAAGGATCGCATACTGGGACCAGTGTTTCTGCCAGAGCGACTGAACGGACAGCGATACCTAAACTTTATAAATGAACAGTTGGTTGACATTTTAAACGACCTATCGTTGGCTGAATATCGCCGCACATAGTTCCAACATGATGGTGCCCCTCCACATTTCGTGAGGTTCGTCCGTGAGCGCCTCAATGAGCTATTTGATGATCGCTGGATCGGCAGACTAGGACCACACGCTTGCCCACCTCGCTCACCAGATCTGACTCCGTTAGACTTCTTTTTGTGGGGTATGTGAAAGAAAGGGTTTTTAATCGTGAATGTGATAGTGCTGAAGAAATGCGCCAAAGGATCGTGGATGCTTTCGAGAAACTACGTACGGACTGTGTCGAAGACCACACGATGATGCCCCGCCTGCACCCAAGTCTGCCTTGAAATGAATGGAGCACAATTTGAGCCGCATCTCATAAGACCACGGAGGATTTAGAGCAGTAAGCTGTTTCATAACTATTTTTTTTTAAATAACTTAGTACTAGACTAATCTGAATAGGTACATAACTGAATACACGAGAATAATAAACATACCTACACGATGAATAAAAACGCATGACTCCAACCTTGGTTACATTTCATTTAAGTATTTCTTCATTAGCGGGGAATCGAACCAGTTATTTGGGTTATTTAACCTGTAAATTCGGATTAAAGTGGCTACGTGGAGATAAGCACAGTGGCAAAATAGTAGGTTAAGTAGATAAGTTAGGTATTTAGACACGTGTTGTAAATTATTAGGTATTGTTGGAAGGCCCGCTAGTTGCGGGCCGCGCGAATTTGTGTTCGCGCGTACATTGACCTTTATCTAGCTCAGGTCAGGTGATATCAATTCAGTCATTCCACTGCTGGTTTTATGTTTCAGTATTTTCATGATATTTTTTATGAAATTATCGTTTCATTTAGCTGTACTAACATGATGGCGCGTGAATAAAGCTAATAAAACCTTGTAAAAAGATGATTTTTTTTTCATCAGGATCGAATTTATTTGTGACCCATGATCAAAGGTATACTTGGTGTTGTCGCCTGTCTTAGTTTTCGGGAGCGTTCCAAAAACACCCTGTATATCACCAAAGTATAGAGTATCAGGTATATCACAGCTTTTTTGCTTTGATTTAACGAACGACCAAAAGTATTTTGGGTCAACTTGAATATTTCTCTCAGCATGATTAATAAATCGTTCATAGCACAAAATTTCATATTTTTTAATATCACGCCGTGTATTTGAAAAGTTGTCATAATCATACTGTCTACCATAAATTTTCCATTTTTTATGAAGTTTAAGTTTTCTATTTATGAGTTTAATTAGACGCTTATTAAACCAGACTGGATATTTATTATTATTTTTAACGACTTTAAGTGGGACAAACCTATTTATCACATCACGCACAATTTTATAAAAGTTATCAACAGCAGTATCAATATCGTTTACATTTAAATGGTCTTCCCAAACAAGATTTGATAGTTCTTGGTTAATTTTATTATAATCCGCGGTATGAAACCGTCGTACTATCCGGTTGGCTGGACACAGACTTGGAGTATAATCAATACTTAAGTCAATACATAAAGAGGGATGGTGGCCATCTTCCGGCGATGACAACGGCATGACTCTTTGTACAATATACTTCAAATCGGAAATCACCAAATCCAACTGTCTGTCGTTCATATTGTTAACGTGATTATATTGTGACCAGTCATTAAAGCATAAAAACGCAAACAGTTGCGATGTCAATATGTTATCATATGGATTATCAAGATACAAATTACTACCTGAAGAATGTGGATTTGGGATCCATCTAGCAACCCTTATGTTAAAATCTCCTACCAATAAAAACTTATCATTAGGATAGTCAATTTTAAGATCAGATAAATATTCATAAAACGATAATTCCGCTGCCGCTTGATAATCATTTTGGGGGAAGTAGCAACAAAATAGTCTCAGCAATGATGTCATCGGTGCCCGATTCAATAAAATATTAACACATGTTACGTCAGCATCATACAAAAAAGGTAATTTGCGTAGTCCCTGCATACTCACAGTTATCCCTCGGCGAACAGCAATCATGGTACCACCACCTTTTTTAATAGTTAAATTATCATAGTCACGATCGTTACGGTACACGTTATACCGAGAGTCAAACAACTCAGCATCATAGATTCCTGGTAACAACCAAGTTTCGCTTATGCATATAATATCATAATCTGAGTTTAGAATATTACTATAAAATTGTTTAACTTTCGTCCGCAGACCTCTTGCATTTTGATTGAATATGTTAATTGACACTGAAAATGTTAAGTTTAACTAAATAGTTTCTTAAGTATAGAACGTTCTAATAAAGTAGAAACAACCCAAAGTGTAAGTCTATAGCCGGCTCCAATGCAATTTGATAAAATCTTACAACATTAAAATAAAATATTTGAGTTTGCAACAATATTACAGTGGTAGTTTTATAAAAAGCAAGTTGATAACCAGTGAACACAATACTTAATTTAAAAAATAAATCAATTACATTTATAGTCAAAAACAATAAGCAGTAAGAAAAGTATGACACAACCATAGCACTTATACAATTTTGTTTAAAGAGCGTTCAGACGTGATGTGTATAATTGGCGATTGATCACTGCGGCGCACCATGATCGAACAGTTACGAACCCAGCAGTAGACGTAGCCTTTCTCCTTCGCCAATCGCTTCGCTTGTTTGAGAAGATGCTTATTTTTTGCCGAAAGATGGTCGTTGAAAAATATCTTATAGCCACTCTGTGCCCCAGTAATACCAATATCGCTAGCGGTACAGTTCTTCAATTTACGTAACAATGATAGAAAATCATCCTTTTTATATCTCGAATGCATTTTCAAAATAATCGGCTTCGGTGTTTTATTGTCCGCATCATTCTTAACCGCCACACGAGTTACGAAATCAACATCACTATCTATATTAATTATAAAATTACATTTTTGCGCTAGGGACTTCACTAAGCTTAAAAGGTTTTCACCCTTTTTCTCAGGAACCCCATTTATTTGTATGTTTGAACGGCGAACCCATTGGTCATTGCGATCATTGCAGTCAGAAATATCCCTCACTTTTGATCGGATATGGTCGAGATCTTGCCTCAATTTATCATTTTCCTCTTTAAGATCGGAAATCTGTTCATTTATCAAAGCAATTAATGATGCAAAACCATTCATTTTAGTCTCCCATGAATTAACAGTAGCTGATAGTCCTGTTAACTTGTCGTTAACGTCGGATTTCAGGGAGTCGATGGCAGATTGCAACGCACTAAACCTACCGTCAAAATGTTCCATAATGGCATTTGCATCAATGTTTATCATAGATTGCGATTGCGATGAGCTGCATTCCAGACGAGGTGTGTTGGGGCTGTTTTTATTATCCTTTTTTTTACCGGATTTACACGATGGCCACTTCCATTTAATTTTATTCATAGGTAACATTTTCTTAAAGTCCAGTTCTTTTAATCCTATGCATGCGTAATGGTATGAGCCACGACATGCAGAGCAATTAATTAAGTCCTCCTCATTTACAATAACGAAACATGTTTTGCAATCCATAGTATAATAGTATTTTGTATTTATTTAAACGAGAGGTAGATTATTTAAAATAGTAGGCACGTAAAACAATGTAAATAACATCAACAGCTAACGTTAACTAAACCAACAAGACTTCCCGTCCAAAAGAGCTTAAGCGCCGTGCGGAGCTTGTCGCTTACGCGTTATAGTAAACAATACCGGCCAGTCACTGATATCTCACTGCACAAAAGAGGTATATGGTTATTTTCACTTTAAATCCATAATTAACTGCAAAGTTTATTATATCACAATGACTATAAACAGTATATGTCACTTTTGCAATAGTCTTCGCATATCAAAACACTTATTTACCGGTTACTGGATTAAAAATTGCGCATAGATGTAACCCGCGCAAGAACCAACCGACTTATATGTACACATACATGATCAAGTGCTCAACAGCTCAACAACATGAAATATATCGTCTAATCTTAATAAAATAAACATTTGAATTTAATTGAAGACTAAGAAGATTTAACAACACCATCAACGAAAAGAAACGAAACAGAAAGTGAACTGAAAATTAGTGTGGAGATAAAAAAAAAAATTAATACAGTGAATCTTACAGTCATCATATCTTTTTAGTATTAAATGGAGGCCCTTTAAATTGTATACGTAAAAAAAGTAAATTTTTATTTATTATTTGTGACAGTCTTGTTTTAAAATTAATATCAGAACACAGTATAGAACACAGAAGAATAAAAATACCATAGAAGTATAATAATGTGACAATAGTCTTTAACATGTCTTAGATCCTTGTCGCACTTACACAAAATTATGTATGCTATCCAGCTTTCACAGTAATATTGCATTCGTTTCTCAATGTTTTACCCATTTATAGGGTTTTATTATTTTCTCGAAAATAGTGCATTACCTTTTAATGCAAGTGATATTGTTACTAGAGCGACACTGAAAGTTTTTAGAACTGGCCACTTTTAAACGATATGATAAAAAAAATTAGTTCAAATTTTGAAAATTATTAATTTGTCTTTTGTTTACGATTTGGCGGCAAATTGAAAATAGTCTGTGTCACGTCAGCATGAATTCAACGCGAGAAAATTTTCGTACAATGATTTTCATGACTTTAGATGTAATTTAAGTCAACAAGAAAGGTATGATAGACTTCGATTGGCCTTTTAGGATGAAGCTTCATCTCGTGCCACTGCTTGCAACTAGTTTAATGAGTTTAAACGTAGTCGCACTAATCTCACCGATAATCTCCGTGAGGGACGGCTTTCTACGACGACGACTGAAGATAACATCAGTGTTGTGCGGCGTATGATAGAGACTGACAAAAGAGTGACTTATAAGCAGATTCGAACAATCTTAGGCATCAGTATAAGTCAAGTGCACTAAATCTTCCATGAAAATTAAGCGACCAGGAAGCTTTGTGCCCGGTGGATACCACATAATTTGACAGAGGCCCAAAAACTCCGTCGTGTTGATTGGTGTCGGTTCAAAGATTTAACGGAGGTGACTCAAATGTTGTGTTCGACATAATTACGGGCGACGAAAGTTGGATTTATTGTCCTGAAACTAAGAGACAGTCTGCTGTCTGGGTGTATTCTTTCGAGGAGTTGCCAACTAAAGTGAAGAGATGAAAAAAAGAATGAGAAAAAAGATGGTGGCCTCGTTATTCGGAAGGACAGGTCATTACGCAACAATTGTTTTAGAGGATCAAAAAACAGTTACTGCAAAGTAGTACACTAACAATTGTTTGCCACTTGTCTTGGAAAAACTTCGGGAGAAACGACCTCGCAGTAGAATCCTCCTTCACCACGAAAACGCGTCGTTGCACACCACCAAGCAAACAATCGACTACTTGGCGACGTCAGACGTGAAATTACTGGGTCACCCGCCCTATAGCACCTACCTCGCACCTTGCAATTTTTATTTATTTCCGAAAATAAAAGAAAAACTTCGAGGAAAACATTTTATGGATGCCGAGGAAGCAGTGGCTGCGTTTCAAAATGCCGTCGAAGAGACCTCTAAGGACGAGTGGGCAAAGTGCTTTTCTCTGTTGTTCCATCGGATGCAGCAATGTATTGATATAAGTGGACACTAATTTGAAAAGATATAATAAAACTAATAACTTGCTAGTTTGTTGAGTTTTTGCTTTTCTAAGAACTTATATTATCACCCTCGTATATTCGGTAACCAAACCTCTACCAAATACAACACCTTATTGTCCCATACTCCTGCCAAACGATTGTAAATCCTACCCAATCATTTTCATTATACCTTTAGTGGTATTAATATTTAAATACTTAAATGAGTTCAAAATCCTAGAATTGCAGATTAGATTAATTTTTGATAGATTAAATTAATGATTGATTTAGAAGTTCACATGCCAACTAGCCCAATGTGACGTTGACACGGGTAGTTTGAATTTACCCATATCCGTAAATGTCACGGTTTTAAGTTGTAAGATTGAATAATATTGAATACGAGAATATACAAAAATAAAAACAGTATATTTGGCTTCTCTACTGCCACTGATATACACTGATATATGTATATTAGTGGCAGTAGAGAAGCAAAATATACTATATATATATATATTATACCATGTGGTATAATAAAAATAAAAAATATATCAAGACCTTCCCTCGAGTTTCTTTCTTGAATTTCATAGTATACGAGGGATCAAAGTTCGACCCCATTGCTGTATAGTATAAATATTCACTAAATCATGATTCATTGTTCTTTTGTAATGAAATAGATCATAGTTAAAAAAAGCTTGCTATTCGGTGTGTTATGTCTATATATCTGTATAAAAAGGTTTAAGTAGGCCCCTATATTGATAGGCCTCTATATTGATAGGGATACCAAAACTTTTTTTAATAGAAAATAGGATGACAAACGAGCACACAGTCCACCTGATGGTAAGTGGTTGCTGTGGCCTATAGACATCTACATCTATCTTCGTTTGCGAATTAAAATACAGATGCGTTTTCAGCCGTGAGGAAGATAGAATGTCTCATTTACAGTAAAATAGGTCTCCGGTTCTCTACACTCACAATACTATATAATATTCTGTGACCTAATGAGCAACGTGGACCGAAGTATTAATGTTTATATTAAGGCACTTTATATTAACCCTCGTTGCTGACAAGGGTGAATCTGGATACTCCAATGTGGTTCCTGGGTTCCACAGGCCCTGCAGGAGTCAACATTTGAGTAAAAACAAAAATTGTTGATTTTTTTTGTGACTGTGCGCATCCACGAGAACTTTTCTTCAGAATATATTAAAATTTAAATTTTCATTAACCATTTCTTTGGTGCCACCAGAGATCGAATCCGGGTTTCTCTCGTATTGTAATTTTTAAGGAGAGCACTTAGTCTCTGAGCTACCACGACTCACGGTCGTAAGTTGTAATTGTTCTACCTTATAGACATCTACATTTACCCTCGATTAAAATTGAAACCTCACACCTGAGGACTAAGATAGAATGCCTCGTATCCAGTAAAATTGTCTTTCGCTTCTCTACACTCACTATACGAAACACAACAGCAGTAAGCTACTATTTGAAGCTGGTATTCTGTGAGAGCGTGGACCTTCGCCTGTCGAACCGTACCATTCGTGCTACAATTATGTATAGTTATACGAGTGGCTGCAACATGGCTCTACCACGTATTAAAATAAAGTTTAAAAATTAGTGATTCTTCACATCAAAATAACATTTGGTCTATACTTGATAACGCACTGATTAATATATAGTAATATTTGTAGAAAGCGTAATTGAGTTTAGTACAGAGACTGATTTTGTAGTTAGGAATAATAATTAATTCGTTTACACGAATTAATTATCCAACGAGTCGAGGATAAACTAGTAACGGAATACGACAAGCGCACCGTTCCACGTCAGAGCCAAGACTGTCTTAACGACGGCCGCTCCGTCCGTTTTATACAAGCAGAACGGGTGGCAACGCAGGTGCAATGCCGCAGGTGTGCGGTACACGTGTCGTTTACAAGAATTCTGTCTAGCCAGACCGACGCTACCGCACCTACAACGGTGCAGGTGCCGTCACGGCCATACTGACATGCGTGCGTCCTCGCACGCGCTCCATCACAATTTTAGTTATCTGTAGACAAAAAAACATCGTTCGACTATCCTGACATAACAGTGTCTGGTCCGGTTTATATTGACCCTTCAGACTTGGTTGACAGTCTGTTTTGTTCCGGCAGTAAGCCCTACAAAACTTTAATCATCTTTATGTTTGATCGGAATGATTAGTCTGTAGCTTTTTCTATTTTCTCTTTTTTTTTTTCAAGTACTGTTTTCGCTAGTCCGGAATCACTATTCCCTGTAGCTATATCATTGGACCGGCAAACGCCCTGCAATGATAGTAAGAACAATACTTTTTTTCTTACACTCTTTTGTTTTTCAATTCAGTATAGAACAGTTACAGACCAACCATACCGCAAACATGTCCCCGTCACAATCACACAAAAGTGTATCGTGAGGGACGTAGTGACACGATAACACCTAAGTATGTAAACCAACAGTAACTCTACACATATCCCAGTGCAGCACAGACCAGCCTCCCTGCAACTTCATGTTCCTTTCCTGCTCTAGAATAATTACTTCGTTAGAGTGTTGCAATGTCTCTAGTATTTTCTAGATGCACAGACACGGCTACCTCTGACTGTCGCACGTCCTCGTGCGGTTGACAGTGAACAGCATACGGTCTATCAGTTATCACCACCTGCTAACAGATATTAACTCTTGTTAAATATTACAACGGTCGACCATCCCAGACTTCATTTAAGTCATGGACGCGCCGATATGGCTACCTCCAGGCAAACGCACTCAAACTTTCCGTTCTGCTGCGTTCGTGCCACATTCGCGCTAGCGAGCCGTCGCGCCGTACTGGCGCTAGCGAATCGTCGCACTGCTTTGCAAAATTAAAAATTAAGAGAAATGGAGATAAATGTATTGCGAACCATGGAATTCCGAGATTCTCTTAAGAAACGGCAACTGTATGCCATTTGTAAACATTGCAAAAAAAGGGAAACTATGTGTAGAGACAAATACTACAACATATTTCAAAGGGAAGGAAGCAACCGCGCAAAATCTACGAACGCCGTCCAAGCCTCAGACGTCCATTTACAGCGCCAAAGCACCAAAGCGCCAACAGATGATAATCATGTTTCGCATGAACTATCAAATTACAACAAAACTTGAATAAGTTAATTTTTCATTCAATGCAAACGATGACTCGTCTAGAAAGCCTTCGACATTTCTTCCATTTGTTAACATATTTAGGTACGTCAGAAATAATGAAAATACTTGAGGGTACTTTTAATACAAATCTAACAAAAGGATTTATCTTTTGGCTTAAATAATTTCACTTTATCTTTTCTCTACA